ACTTTTGTTATTTTCAACACTTGCATGTTTTGGACTAATAACAGAGGTACAGATAAGATGCATATCTGCGTAAATTATGCAAATATTTATGTGAAAACTCAATTCCTATCAGGTCTATTGCGTAAAAGTACGCTTGATTTTTTGTAACTCAATAAATTTTATCTGGTATGCGTACACACAAAAGTGTCAAATCTTAGCTTGCGTACCGGTGGATAGATAAAATAACAAAGGTATACTGAGAGGCTCTATTTCAGCACATGAACTTGGCAACTTGCAGTCTTTCTTATCGTTTCTCATATTACAGATCAAATATAAATAACAAACACGTAAACGAACATTTAAACTTTATCATAGTTTTACAATTTATGGAATATGGCAAAAACCCAATTGAGTTTAGGTGAGGTGGGTACAATTTACTTGGTTACTCAAAGGAACATTAGGATACCCAATTGAGATGAACACAAGCGAGTACACAACTCAATGACCCAAACAGTTATCTGTAGCTCTGTAATAAGGACACTGAATGTTGAAGAATGGTCAAAATGTGGCTGTGGGGTTTTCAAGAAGCCATTTTCTAATATTTGAACAATGACGAGTCCTTGAACCATGCTAAATTTCTTAGCAGACATAGGTGAAGACAGTACAAACATATTGTGAAAAGTTCATCTACGGTCACACACTTGCTGATAAAGCTATAAAAATCCCTTTGTCGTTCATATTGCTACACAGCATAAATTCAAATAGGTAACAAATAGAAAAAAAGTTGATAATTTTCATGGCAATATTTTTAATGTTTCAGTAACTTCAAATGTTGACATTTTCTGTATAACAGGGTAATGACGACCTACTTTATGCCTGATCCTTTAAAAAAAGCATTATACATAAGTACTCAAATTCACTTCATTCCCAGGTTGGATTTGGCCTCAGAACAGGCCCCCAGTAGCCCATGCTTGTCATGAGAGGTCACTCCAAGCAAGGGTTCAATAACCTACAGGTATGTCCTGCCCATGTGGGGCGGTGAGGTGGCCTAGTGGTTAAAGTGTTCGCTCATCATGCTGAAGTCCCGGGTTCGATTCCCCACATGGATACAATGAGTGAAGCCCATTTCTGGTGTCCCCCTCCGTGATATTGCTGGAATATTGATAAAAATGGTGTAAAACCAAACTCACTCACTCACTCACTCATGAGAGGTGACTCCAAGTGGTTGTGGTCAGACTTACTGATGTGGTTGATGCATGCCATTGTATCCTGATGGTGTGGTACTGTGCTCATAATATCGATCACTTATTTCACTGTTCAAGACTATCATTTACAGGTTGCCATAATCAGAGATAATACAGCTGGAATTTAGCTGGCACTGGTACAAAATGAAGAGAAATACAAACTATGATTTATTATAGGGGATATGAGTTTGAATGACTGACTGAGTTTGGTTTTACGCCGCTTTTAGCAATATTCCAGCAACATCATGGCGGGGGACACCAGAAATGGGCTTCACACATTGTACCCATGTGGGGATTCGAACCGGGGTCTTCGGCGTGACGAGCCAACGCTTTAACCACTAGGATACCCCACTGCCCCGATATGAGTTTGAACATGAACCAAGATCCATGATCCGTGATCATGAGTACACCAAAAACTATGATCCTCCCCTAGTGTAGCTAGCTTTATGTTCAGGTAATAAGGATTAAGTCTGATAAAACCAAATGACAAAATAATATCCCTCCTAAGTCCAGTCTCCGGGCATGATCACAATTCCATCCTCGTTTCTGTTGTTCCTATCATCTCAATATCACATTCCAGTGTCGACATCATTATGTCAAAACAGACAATACCTATCTCCGATGTCTACCTGTTATCATACCTGGTCACCTAACCCAGTGTTCTATGTTGGGGGTAGAACCTGAGACTTGACCCACAGAGTACAACAGAGAGGATTACAACCCTAGAAACTCCCTCCCATACATAGGTGTGTGGTACACCAATGCTAAGGTCAGCTTGATTCTGTTGAACATTATCAGTGATCTTGTGGTGAGTGCTTAATGGTCGTGGTGAAAGAACTTAAGCGATTGTAGATAATGATTTTACTTCTTAAACATCATATGTTTTGTTGTGTGTACAACTTTGGTCCCAATGTTTTTAAAAAAATGACTGCAGCTCTTTTTATCTTGTGACATTGTTGTCATTTCCTCATGCTAAGATTCCAAGCCGGATAATTTTAATAGCGAAAGTGTCGTATGGTGTTAAAGCGGATTAAAATGGGGGTCACTTGACCCAAATCCTTGAGTTAGTTAGTCTGTATTTTGACAGATTTTAACACCGAACTGGGTGGCTACTTGGTTTAACATACTTTAATTTGCTGTTGCATCACTTAGGTATGTCCAAAACCTTGGTTTGAATCCCTAACATGCCCTGCTTGTTGTACTGGGTGCTGTCGTAAGTCTATGTTAACGTATGGGAGCTACGATCACCTTAGCCTCAAGGTCGCTTTGTACAGCGGTGGGGGTAGCCTAATGGTTAAAGCGTCGCCACGTCGCCACATGGGTGAACGTGTGAAGCCCATTTCTGGTGTCCCCCGCCGTGATGTTGCTGGAATATTGCTAAAAGCGGTGTAAAACCAAACTCAGTCAGTCAGTTGTACAACGGCACCCTGGGTGATGCACTCCATCATGAACCATTGAAGACATTTGAATTCATGAAATGCTGATGGATGTGATTCAATAGAAACAGTGTCAGTATGTATTTCACCACAAAAAGCAGCGAGGCATCCCATGATGCACTATTCCATTGTCTCTGAGGCAAGAACGGGACTTAATTAAGTGATGGGGGTGTTTGGTACTGCGGTGGACAGAAATGAAAATGTTTTCTTATGTTAAATGGGACTTTCTCGAATGACATATCCATATATTACACATGTTGAAAAGATTAGCAAATTAGTAGTCTAAACATGAAATACAATGAATGTTATTTATACTACTGACCCGTGTCAAGAACACTCAATCTATTTCTGACATGAGAACTATGGTGACATGACAAAAATAAGATATTCTTTACTTCTTTTGAATAGTATACAACCGCCTCTGTCGTGTAGTGGTTAGAGCGTCCGCCTGGAGAGCGGAAGGTCGCGGGTTCGATCCCCGACCGCGTCATACCAAAAGACGTTAAAATATGGTACTTGTTGGTCCCTCCCTCACGCCCGGCATTAATGGGTACAACAAGTAATGGTCGGCTCGGAGTCAGTATAATGTGTCTGAGTGGGGGTATTCATGCTTCACTGCGGTATGGTATCTCAGTGGGCTAGCACTATAAAACCAGCTTAAGTCTGGGCTAGTACAAGCAGCCGCACATACACATACACACGCATGCACGTCGTCATATGAGCAAAATATTCTCAAGTACAACGTTAAACCCAATTTCACCTCACCTCACCTCACCTTAATTTTAATAGGATTAATTTTAATGATATGGTAATGACAAAAGGATACCAGGAGGCATGGAAAAGGGCATCATATCACCAGTAAACAGTTCATATTCACAAATCTATAAACCAAATTAAACCAGAAGGTGATGAAACATGATAAGAGGCACTACAACTTGCAACGAGCTAAATCATTCACTCTGGTTTGGAATATGAAACACATTTGCACTTAATGACTTTTGTGTTTAAGATCAGTTAGAATGTTGCCAGGATGTGAGTTATGGGCGTCCACTAAAGTGGCCACTCTCACATCCCTACACAGGAGTTATGCTTATTGTAAATTGGAGACCCTGGCCAATCCTGTGAGCTACCTACAATAATGGGACTTCCACTGTCACAGTTGAAATGTATCACTGCTCATGTCAAATGTCACCAAAAGTACATGTGTCTATTTCAAATGCATATATTTCACCATAGTACTTGTATACATATAATGGTAAGAAAAAGGTAAAAGCAGACATGAGCACTATTTAAAATGATTAAACAGAGTAACAATAAATTATTTTGTCAAAAACACAAGTTAATGTTGCAAATATCATTCGTATGTTTCATAGTATTTAATCTCTCTCTGTGCAAAAGAATCTCCCTCCTCCCTCTCTCCTATGTATAGCTCCTCCCATCTCTAGCTCTCTCTCTCTCTCTCTCTCTCTCTCTCTCTCTCTGCAAAGAATGTATCTGAATGTACCAGCCACACTTAAGACTCATCTCAATATACAGCCTTATGGTATGTACCACAACAATACAGATCCATGCCATCACAAAAAAATTACAATACTTCACTAGTGTGTCAAACACATTAGATCTGTGCCATCACAAAATTATAATACTTTACTAGTGTCAAACACACATTACCCCAATTACAGTGTCTTCAGCATAAAAAATATAAGAACAGATTCGACCAACTGAGACAAATTACACAGGTTAATACATCTGCCAGGTATTTGAACTGGGTTAGTGAATCAGGGAGATCGGGACCATGTGTCCACAACAGGGAATCAATCCTTATTGAACAGATGACTCATACATACATCAGCTGTTTGGGAAGTGATTGACAGTATTGTATATTATGATGACATAATGTCAGTATAATATAGTATTTAGAAGAATTATGATTTAGCAGCTTTAAGTTATGACTCATAGTTATGATGATACAACATTCTAATTATACAGAATTTTTATGATTTATCATATCAAGTATTCATGTACTAATCTACAGATCAGATAAAAATGACTAAATAAAAAGGTTAAAAGAGACGTGTTTACAGGTTGGAAAGTATATTTTTTAAGCTTAATTGTTCATTCTAATGTTTTGTTTAGTGTTAAAGTCATCATGTTTTAGAGACATATTGTTACGGCATCATTAGGATAAAATATACAACTGAAATAGAAAAAGTGCACAATGTAAGAAAAATATACAGAGTATGGGAAATTGTTTTCTGAAAACATGGTCATAGTTGAAGAGACTGTCTCTAGTCTGTGTCATATGAAACCTACTTATTTGAGTCACAGAAATTTTACTTACCTCAAGTTGAACTCCAAATAAGTCAGGATTTTTCTCTGGCTCCCGTCGAAGCGTAATCGACGTCTCTGAGGAACTGTCACTCAAACTGCTGCAGGTATCATCAGCCATTGAGGGCATCACAATATTTTAAATACAACTGATCCAATTGCTACATGCACTATATGCACATAGTGTTACATACGCTTATATCACGTACATGTCACAACGCAGTATATATATCCAAGTGTCTCAGACTGTCAAACCAATCTGTATCAGTGTTCTAGGTCAATATCACGTGTTTCCTTTAACAAAGCTTGTCCCAAGGTACGAAATGTACACCTGAAATATACGAGATCAATGTTATGGTCCCAAGTATGAAAGACCTATGCTGAGAGTGAATGAAGTAATTGACGACTAACACATGGTACTCGCCACTGCGGTTGGCTCGATCCAACTAGCTCAGCAGCTCACAGCTGATTACCTGGGCCGGTCCACTCTTACAGGAGGGGAGTAGGGTAAGACAGGTGTAAACACAAAAGCTGCTGCGAGCTATCAGGGATGTTGGTAGTGATAATATGGCTGGAGGCAATACGGATTGTGTCACATATTGCCACCAGGATAAAATACTCACAGTCATAATCTTGATAACATTGACGTAACGACACATCAAACCCTTGGCCGGCTTCAAAGATCTTGCTCAGGAAGAATTACCTGGGCTGTAAACAAACCCTTTTTAAGCCTCTTCTAATTTTGAAAGCTTGCTGGTCTAGACTGCTGTTGCTAAATTTGAATTCTGTTTTTTGATGGTTTTACATTTAGGCTTCAGTGCTTCTTTTGAATTGCTTGGATCAATATTGTGGTTTTGTATGAGAATCTTTATTCCTTATAATTATTTAATGACTGACACAGTGAGCAAGGGGTCTTTGGTTGATTGGCTACAAATTATTAAAATGTTACTTAAAATCATTTATGTTAGGACAGGACAGGTGCAAATCACATTTTCTTAAGTGGTCTTGAATAGTTAATCTTAATATATGAGGCATGAGGTATATATCTTCATAAGCTTGAACAAAAATATATTTTGTCATTGTTTTTGCTTTTATCCATTAATTTCATACAGTAAATATTTTATCCCAAAGAACTGGTTTATACCTTTTCAATGCAACAATGGGAAATAACTAACTTCTCCACCCTTACAGACACTATATAAGCAATGAAGATTCAATGCATGTAGCCAGAGGTTACAGCTCTTTGAGGCATCATATATTTTGTTTATGTTTTTTAAAGATTAGCTTTTTCTATAAGACGGTGATCTCTGTATAGCGTCTGAAAGTATATAAAAAGCTTAACTGTTTGCTAAGTATTCTTTAGAATATGTTTAAATGTGAAACTGAATGGTGTCTTATTAATAATGCTGTAATACAAAGAGACCATATTTTCTGGATGTTTGTTTTGTAAAATAAGATACGATCTAATATCCACACTCCATGGTCTAATATCAACACTACATGGTTTAAAATCCAGACTACATATCTAATATCTACACTCCATGGTCTAAAATCCAGATATGATCTAATATCCACACTATATGGTCTAAAATCCACACTACATGGTCTAAAATCCAGATATGATCTAATATCCATACTCCATGGTCTAAAATCCAGATATGATCTAATATCCACACTACATGGTCTGAAATCCAGATATGATCTAATATCCACACTACATGGTCTAAAATCCAGATATGATCTCATATCCACACTACATGGTCTAAAATCCAGATATGATCTAATATCCACACTACATGGTCTATGGTCTGAAATCCAGATATGATCTAATATCCACACTACATGGTCTAAAATCCAGATATGATCTAATATCCACACTACATGGTCTAAAATCCAGATATGATCTCATATCCACACTATATGGTCTAAAATCCAGACTACATGGTCTAAAATCCAGACTACATGGTCTAAAATTCAGATATAATCTAATATCCACACTCCATGGTCTAAAATCCAGACTACATGGACTAAAATCCAGATATGATCTAATATCCACACTACATGGTCTAAAATCCAGACTACATGGACTAAAATCCACATAACATGGTCCAATATCAACACTTTGGTGAAATATCAGTACTATGGCCTAATGTAGGAAGTCCATGGTCTTAAATATTTAAACTACATGGACTAATATCTGCACTACAGTCTAATGCCCCCATATCGACACTATAGTCAAATTGTTCTATGGTCCAATATCGACACCACAAGATATCACATCAACACCATGGTTAAATATCCTCAATACATGATCTAATATCATCGGTATGGTCTAATATCCTATGGTCTAATATCGACACTACAAGATATCACATCAACACCATGGTTTAATGTCCTCAATACATGATCTAATATCATCAGTATGGTCTAATATCCATCATATATCATCATCAGATCTAACTGCTCTATAGTCTTATATCGACACCACAAGATATCACATCAACACCATGGTTTGATATCCTCAATACATGATCTAATATCATCAGTATGGTCTAATATCCATCATATATGATCTAACTGCTCTATAGTCTTATATCGACACCACAAGATATCACATCAACACCATGGTTTAATATCCTCCGTACATGATCTAATATCATCAGTATGGTCTAATATCCATCACACATGATCTAATATCAGCACCCATGATATTGGCATTATAACCTAATATCAACACTGTGTTCAAATATTTGAACTGCACTGCCTAATATCATCACTAAAGTCGTATATCTATAATGCATGACATATATCAACATTAAGGTCTCATATCAGCAACATATGCTATGTTATCAGCATAACATAACATCAGGCGTTCCACTCAACTGGAACTATAGACAAGTCATTTTGATCAGGGCTCGATTTATGAGATGTTAACCTACTTGCACCAGGTGCAACCTAAAACAAAAAGCTAGTTGCACCAGCTAAATTCCATTTGCACTGCTCTTATTGCAACATGCAATGAAAGAAATATGCTACTGAATTATTTAGATGTTTTATTCAGAAGTTTACCAATTCAAAAAAGTCAGACTAATAACTAGGTTGTACTTTGTAAGATTGGGTTGCACCAGTGCAAGTAAAAGAGCACTAAATCAAGCCCTGTTGATGATCCAGAGAACTTACCATAGTTTAATGAAGATGTTTGTTTTAATAATTTGAAGAGAGAATATATGTTATTTCCTAAACAGACATTTTGTTGTACATTTTACAAGGGGAATATATGTTTATCTACAAAACATTGTATACTCTCAGAATGTTGTCATATATCAACAAAAAAAATACATGCTGAGAGGTAAAAACTCCACCCAGAAGTGATCATGTTTATCATAATCAGTTGTCATGTTTGATCATAATCAGTTGTCATGAATGTAGCATTCGTGACAATAGTTGTACCTTATACTTGCAGCAAGGCTATACTTTGACCAGGAAATACAGATAAGATAACAAAGTATAGCTCCATCACAACAATCAACTCTGTCTGTATCATAAAGTGCATCAAGGCTTATTACAGGGTATGAAACTCACAAATATTTCAGCCAGACCACAGGGCTGGTTAGATGTAAAACTTGCCAGACCTGCCCACAAAAACTTTTGGTTTGACAAGCGACGTAGTTCATCATTGGAATTCATCATTTATATTTACGAGTGAATTAATAATGATTTATTATCCTGAAATATGATGAATATCTTCATATACATGTCTAAATTTTAACCCAACCGTTGGGCAGGTGAATTTGAGAATCTGGCAGTCTGTGCTGAAAATAACCCACCCCGGGCGGTCGGGCTGGCGGGTATATCGAACGCTGCTTGTTATCACTATTTTGTGACAACAAAATTTTAAAGTTAACGTGACAATATTTTATATATTTTGACATTACTGTGAACAGTGAGTATAATTGGTTTTACACTGTTTTGAACACTGTCATGCCATCTTAGCTTGATTTTGGCAGAAAATCCAAAGATGGCTATAGTGCTGACACACCCAGAAACTATCATGGTGAACGAAGATTTAAACCGATGATCACAGGGTTCTGGCATGCCAAGGGGAAGCAACTCTGCATTGCAAATTGGGCCCCTGTAACCTTATATCTTTTTGTTTCATCACCTTCAGCAAGTATACAGAAATGTACCCTAAACAAAGTCAAAATACAGAAACGTACCCGGTACCCTGAACGGGTGAGAAGTCCATATTCAGCAACCTAAAACCAAAACTGTATGTAGTTGCTACCATTCAACTGATAGCGAGTGGTCTTGTGCATAAAAATATATTCGTTATTGTGTATTCGTTTCTTATATAACACATTTTTATATGCATCTAATACAACAGTATGACAGTTCAGATCAAGAAAACAGCAAAATGCGGAATGGACTCGTCGTTGGGTACTTTTCTGTATTTTGATACTGGGGGTACAAATCTGTAGTAACCATGCTGACAAGACCCCTTCTGTCCTATTTATATGACAACAATGAGATTGTCAAATTTACCCTTTTTAAAATACGAACATATACTTGTACACCAAGTTTCGATATGATCAGAAAGGAAATAAATAAAATTTACAATATCGAGAAAACAAATGCCATCTTTTCTTGTAACTTTACCAAATTTGTTGGATTCTGGTCTGATTGCCATCAACTGTTTGATTGATACTAATGTACAACTGATCCTTTGTCCTACAATGTCATATGTTATGATATGCTTGTCAATGTGAGATACCGCCAAACTCAGTATACAAAAGCATGGTTTATATTTGGTTGTGATTTGATATCATGTTTTTGTACCTAAAAAAAAAAGATGAATAATTTTTTTTATTAATAATGATTGTTTACAATCTGCATTCAAATGACCTCATAGGGATTCTGGGTTAGAAATGTCCCCAGTGACCAATTCTGGTCTTCAGAGGCGGGTGAATCGGGTCATCAAGTACCGGTAGGTGTCCTGTTTGATAGTGTTATCATACCCTGATGGCATGGATCATTGTTTGTATTATCTACCACTTGACTGTCTGGTTCAAACAAAATAATATACAGGCCACCATCTTATTACTGAAATATTGCTGAAACTGACCTTAAACAAGAAACAAACAGTTGTATGGCCACCATATTGCGGACTATGCCAGAAAATAGTGCACATGCATGTTAATAGTGCCCACGTTAACAATTACTTTGTTAATATGATCAATCACTTCAGAATGAAATAATTCACAAGCAAAAGATTACTACAATTATGATAATTGTTTTCGCTGACTTTTCAAGAGCAGGTATCAGACTATTTGACAGTAGCTCAAAAAGGCGCTATATAAATGGCCTATTATTATTATTATAAAAACACCTGCTTTTGAATCTTACAATGGAAGGATTTTAACATTTTATTATCAAAAACATTAAACCATATTACTG